CTGGGGACCCCTCCCCCCTCCTTTGCACCCCTCCCCCCTCCGGGGATCTCCCCCTACGCCCCTCCCCCACCCCGCGAACCCCACGCGGCGCCGTTACCGCGGCAACGGCCGAGGCCACGCCCACCGGCACTGACCACGCCCACAGCGGCGGCCACGCCCTTCTCGGGCTGGCCACGCCCCTTCCCTGGGCAGCGCTCGGAGGCGGGGGTTGGACTGGGTTATACTGGTTTATACTGGGTTATACTGGGCTGTACTGGTTTGTACTGGTCCGTACTGGGCCCCCGCGCCCCCCCCCCGCTCCCTGATTGGCCGCCGCCCCTCTCGGCCCCGCCCCTGTTGCCGGGCGGAACGGCCGGGCACAAAATGGCCGCCGCCTTCTCACGTGACCGCGCGTTCCCCGCGCTGATTGGCCGTTCACCGCTCGCTCCTCCCCCTCGCCCGCAGCGACCAATCAGCGCCGGGGCACGCGCGGGGTGGGCGGAACGGCCGGGTGGGGTTGGGGGCGCGGCTTAGTGGGGCGATGACCAATGGGAGCTCGGCGCGCGCTGGGAAGGCGGGAATTCGTGAGGCGAGCACCAATGGGAGCGCGGATCTCGCCGGAGGAGCGGGGACTCCTGAGGCGCGGACCAATGGGAGAGCGGCGCGCGCGGGCGGCGGCCAATGGGAGCGCGGGGGGGAAATTTGAAGCGGCGGCTGCGACGGCGACGAGCGGCGGGTGAGGGGCGGAAATCTGGGGCACTTTAGGGGGGATTTTTGGGGGTCCCGAGTGAACTGTGGGGTCCTGAGGGGTTTCTGAGGGGTTTTGGGTGGTCTTGACGGGGTTCTGAGGGAACTGGGGCGTCATGAGGGAGTTTTGAGGGGAATTGAAGGGTCCTCAGGGGGTTTTGAGGGGGATTGCGAGGTCTTCAGGGGCTTTCTGAGGGGAATGGGGGGTCTTGAGGGGGTGTCTGAGGGGATTTGGGGCTCCTGAGGGGAACTGGGGGTTTCTGAGAGGATTTGGGGGGTCCTGAGGGGGTTCTGAGGGAATTGAGGGTTTCTGAGGGATTTTTGAGAGGAATTGGGGGATTCTGAGGGGGTTTCTGAGGGGAACTGGGGGGTCCTGAGGGGGTTTATGAGGGGATTGCGAGGTCTTGAGGGGCTTTCTGAGGGAATTTGGGGGGTCCTGAGGTGGTTTTGAGGGGAATTGAAGGGTCCTGAGGTGGTTTTGAGAGGAATTGGGGGATTCTGAGGGGGTTTATGAGGGGATTGCGAGGTCTTGAGGGGCTTTCTGAGGGGAATTTGGGGCTCCTGAGGGGATTCTGAGGGGAATTGGGGGGTCCTGAGGGGGTTTTGAGAGGAATTGGGGGATTCTGAGGGGCTTTCTGAGGGGAATTTGGGGCTCCTGAGGGGGTTCTGAGGGGAATTGGGAGGTCCTGGGATGAATTGAGGGGGTTCTGAGGAGGTTTTAAGGCTCCCAAGGTAACCTTGGGGCTTTTAAGAGGGGTTTTGGGGACCCCGGGGGTAATTGAGGGAGTTTTGAGGGGTCCCGAGGGGCTTGGGAGGTTTTGGGGTTCGCAGGAGGGATCGAGTTGGGTCCCGAGTGGGTTTTGGGGGACCCTGAGGAGTTCTGGGGGGGATCTTGGTGGTCCTGAGGCATTCTGAGGGGGGTCTTGGGCAGATCCTGAGGAGTTCTGGGGAAGGGCTCTCCAAGATTTTGGGGTCTCCTGGGGCTGTTTGAGGGATTCCCGGAGGGATCGAAGTGGATTTGGGGTCTCAGGGAGACTTTTGGGGGATCCTGGAGAGGTTTTGGGGGGATCCTGGGAGGGTTTAAAGGGGGGCATGAGTGGTTTGGGGGGTGTCCAAAAGGGTTTGGGGGCGTCCCAGGGAGTTGTTGGGGAGTTTGGGGGGGGGTTTTGGGGGGTCCTGGGGTGGAATTTGGGGGGGCTTGGGGAGTTTGAGAGGCCTTGAAGGGGTGGTTGTGGGGGTCCCTGGGGAGGTTGGGGGGATTTTGGGGGTTCTGGGGAGATTCCAGGAGTAAGTTTTGGGGGTTTGGTCTGGGGATCCCCAGTGAATTGATGTGGGGGGGTGGTCCCTGCTGGATTTTGGGGGTCCCTGCTGGATTTTGGGGGTCCCTGCTGGATTTTGGGGGACCCCCTGACCCTTTGTGTTCCCCCCCAGGATGGCACAGAAGGAGAATGTGGCCCCCAGCCTGACCAAGGTGATTCCTCCCCCCTCCTTTTTCCCCCCCTCCTCAGTTTTGGGGTCCCCCCCTCCCCCCGCCCCCTCAGGGGGATTTTGGGGTGACCCCTGTCCCCCCCTCCCCCCCCAGAGTTTGGTCCCTCCCCCCCTGCGGGTGCCCCGCAAGGACCCCCCGAATTCAGAGGCCCCCGGGAAGGGTCTGCCAGGTACGGGGGGAGGGGATTTGGGGAGGTCCTGGGGGGGTTTGGGGTCCCCATGAGGGGTCAGAAGGGGATTTGGGGAGATTTGGGGTCCCCATGAGGGGTCAGGAAGGGATTTGGGGGGGTCCTGGGGGGGTTTGGGGTCCCCATGAGGGGTCAGAAAGGGATTTGGGGAGATTTGGGGTCCCCATGAGGGGTCAGGAAGGGATTTGGGGGGGGTTTGGGGTTGTCAGGAAGGGATTTGGGAGGCTTTGGGGGGGTCCTGGGGGGATCTGGGGTCCCCATGAAAGGTCAGGAAGGGATTTGGGGTCCCCATGAGGGGTCAGAAAGGGATTTGGGGTCCCCATGAAGGGTCAGGAAGGGATTTGGGGGATCCTGGGGGGGTTTGGGGTCCCCATGAGGGGTCAGAAAGGGATTTGGGGGGGTTTGGG